CAATGTCTGTTGGATTTCAATTTAGTCGGTTCCAAGAAGATTTCTGTCGTTCTTTGTATGTCGCAATATCATGTATAGTCCTTTGAGATTTACATTCGAATTTGTGAGATCAGCGCACTCTCAATGCATTTTCTTCTTAATTAATACCTTTCTTTCCTGATCAGAGTTTTGGGCACCTCGAGACGGTGTAATGGTTAGCAAGCTTGTCTTGCCAGAACAGTTACGACTGACTAGTGAGTTCGATCCTCACTGGGTGCCCCCTACTTTCGGCCTTGTGCAACATCTAAGCTACGCTCAGAAAATCATTTAGGGCAGGTCGGCGTGGTGTAATGGTTAGCAAGGTTGTCTCACTTGAACAATTACGACTGAGTAGTGAGTTCGATCCTCATTGGGTGACCCTACTATCGGCCTTGTGTCACGTCTAAGTTACAAATTGTGGATTCAACCCTTTCTGTAGAGCACTTCGTCGTGGTCTCAGGGTTAGCCAGCTTGTCACGCTAGATCAATTACGATTGAGTAATGAGTTCAATCCAAACTGGGAGCCCCTTAACTTTCGGCCTAGTGCCACATTTGCGCTACGCTTAGAAAATCACCTTTCCTGATCAGACTGCTATTTATTAAATTTGAAAATTATGGTCAGATTTATTACAGGGAACTAGCACTGTTGTTGTTATGTAGCGTACCTCTGCGATAAAGTCCCTTGAGATTTTTCAATGTTTTACCCATGTACATTATTTGGTACTTTTTACAGTTTATTTTGTATATTCCTTGCTCTGTCATGTTGTTACTTCATTTGGCTCTGACTATATTTCTTATACTTTGGGGGTGGTGTATACTATATTCTACTAACGCACACACACACACACGCACACACACACCCACACACACATATATATATATATATATATATATATATATATATGCACATATATATGCATATTTCATTTGGGAATTTTTTACGCTTTTTTAATTTTTTTTATATCATATAGACATTTTTTATATATATGAAAAAAATTCTAAAATTCTCAGCATCCTCCGTTTGAACGCTGTGTAGTCGTGCCAAAATAGCAAATTTAATTCGATAAAGTCCTGAAGAACGAAGCGCGTCCTAAGTAAACTTGTAGAGAGAGAGAGATTTTTAACGTGTTTTTGTTTTAATGCCATTTACATATATATATATATATATATATATATATATATATATATATATATTTAAAGTAAAGCTAATATAGATGTTATTGTTACCAAATTTCTTTTACAATATTATGAAAGTACAATTGTACAATTATAATTTTAAATATTTCTTTAATATGTTCTCGATAAATGTGCTAATAAAAATAGTAGTTAACTTATATTAAGTCCCTAAACTATTTACTTAAAAAACTAAATGTTTGAATTGATAACATTCATCATTTTTTAGACATCTAAATTTCTATCAAGCATTGAAATCTATCTTTTACATAATTTTGTTAAAACAAAATTACAGCCTTTTCGATTCCCCCTCTTTGCCGTAACACTCATTTAGATATATCTATATTACTGTTGTCTATCTCCTTTCTATTTTCCCCCCACTACCCTCCCATTCCTATATATCATTTCCGTTAAGTTAACCATCCAAATAGGTCACGATTAGGTCACTCCTCCTACCCCAATATAAAACATGCTTAAGAGAAATATGAAATTAACCCTCCCCTATACTCTATCTTGTCTCGTTAACTACAACTATCACCCTCCCTGTTAAATTACAAAAAATTACACTACCCATCAATTTCTAATCCCATTTTTCCCTTTCATTTCGTTGTTGGAAGTGTTACCTGATGATCCGAAGTCCTTCAAAAAGGATTTTAGTGAAATAAATTATTGTAATGGTACCTTAAAAGTGGTCTGTTTTTTCATTAAATATTAGTTCTGGATTAACATTGAGCTCTCAGGATTTAATCCTCCTTGGAATTACCCATTCGGTTTACCAAGTTCTTCGTAATTTATATATATATATATATATATATATATATATATATATATATATATATATATATATATATATATGTGTGTGTAAATGACCGGAAGATTGCGTTTAAGCATGAAAAATGTCTTTCTTCTCGGTGTTTATTTCAGTGTCCACACTTATATTTATATCCGCTCTATCCCTGATATTGAGCACTTTTGCCCATATATAGAGCATACCTTAAAACTATATTTTTATCCCATAAATATATATATATATATATATATATATATATATATATATATGTATATCCAATATTTGATTTTCAGAAAATTTAGCGGTTATATGTGTAGAAATTCTAATCGCCGAATCAAATTCAAATTCTAAACGATTTGTATCGTTTGATTCACGCTAAAAAAGCACTTTTTCAAGAGGGCATAGATCTTCCTTAAATAGAAGTGCATACTGTGCTCACTTAACTTGGCTAGCAGCCAGTTAAGGAGCAATGAAAACTCGAGGATTCATAAGCTCACTATTCTCAGCTTTTCTGAAAAGTGTGTAACGGTTGAGTCCTTATCTCAAAGCAATAGATGGCATAGTTGATCAAGATATCTATCTGTAGCGCAGATCACAGGGAGAAATGAATTTATGCCTTTCCGAAAAGCGTTATTTCAAAGTGAACATAGGCAGGCCTCCTCAAGGTTCTAACACGGGGCGCCAATTCCCTTTTCCCTGTTCGGCATCTGTTATACCATTCACTCTTTGCTCTTCTCATATAAAGGAACGAAAAACTGCAGATGGTTCTAGTAAATTGCTTTCTATTCTTATCTTTGTACAAATATTTTATTTTTTCTACCCTTTTCTCTTTAGCTGTCAGTCTATGAGCTTGTTACACGCGGTGTGTATTTGTCTTTGCGTCAAAAAGTAAGTTTTTCCTTCTCAAGAAATAACAGCTGTTTTGTGTCTAAGAATTCCTTGGAAAGACATCTCTGTTTTATTATTTCCTTAGGTTGCTTTCTTTTTTTTTTTTTTTGTTTTTGTTTTACGTTTTCTTCTTTGCAACGCCTCTACATAATGTGCAAATGTCTTTCTTCAAAATAGAACTTGTCTTTTCACGTTCGCACATTGCTTTTCCGTGTCCTCGGGTTTCGATTTACCCCAAGGCAATTTTTTTTAAAACTGTAACATTATGTCTTTTTTGTTCGTGATTTGTTTTTGTCTCTCTTTTACATTTTCTTTGCGATTTTCATGAATCGCTTTTAACTGCGAAAATTGACAGGACAAGGTTAAGTGTATAAAATAATTGAACAAATCTCATCAGGTTTAAAAAAAAAAATGAGGGGATTCAATACCTGTGCAACATATTAACAAGAAGCTAAATGTGTTCCCGCCAAATAATCCCATTAAGACGTAACCCTTATACTGAAGTTCTATTTATGGATCGTCATCAGCTATCTCATTGCGTTTTCTTTAATCTCTTCTTTGATTTTGTTTGACTTAAGTTGACCAAATAAGCAGTCAAAGTAGACGATTACTGTGCGATTTGTCAAGCTATATTCCTAAGTACCACCTGTACAGGCTTACGGCCACATGACGTTGAAACACAGGTTCCTGTCCGGCCACCGAATTTACGTAGCGCCGAACTTGGTCATTATCTCACTAGGTGACGACTGGAATATGCAAGTTGTTTAATGGATAATGGCTCAGAATTGTTAATCGGAGAGCCGGGTTCTAGTTCCCGTTGGGATCGTTATATTTACTTACTCGCAAATAACCTTGGGAAATATATGAATCCACCACTTCCCCCCAGCTATGGGTTAATTAGCAAAACTTATATCACTAAACCATTATTACCTAAAAGGACATTCTTGCAATCAGGTTGTCACGCATGAAATGAGGCATTTTTTGAGTTGGTTGTCGATACGGTCATCTAACGAAGTAAACTCTTTAACATATAAACAATGTCTCGACTTATTCCTGACTCATTTTTTTCAGATAATTTGTCTTCAACATATTGTTACTCATTAACCAAATAAAAATGATTACAGTGAAACAATGTCGAGTAATCATACGGTATGAATACAAACTTGGAAAAAGAACCATATCTGCATCGAATGTGGCGAGAAATGGATAATCTTCGATAACAGTAAGAGAGTAGGCCAGTGGTTAAATGCAAGTGAATCACCAATACAATACCCTAAACTTCCAGTTCACCCGAAAAATTTAATGATTACTGTATGGTGGTCTTTCAAAGGGGATATTTATTATGCATCGAATCATTACATGTCACGAGAAATGAATTCTCCTCGATAACAGTAAGAGAGTTGGCCAGTGGTTAGATGCAAGTGAATAACCAAAACAATACCCCAAACTTCCAGTGCACCCGAAAAATTTAATGGTTACTGTATGGTGGTCTTTCAAAGGGGTTATTCATTCTTCATCGAATCATTACATGTGACGAGAAATGGAAAATTTTCGATAACAGTAAGAGCGTAGGCCAGTGGTTAAATGCAAGTGAATCACCAAAACAATACCGTAAACTTCCAGTGCACCCGAAAAATTTAATGCTTACTGTATGGTGGACTTTCAAAGGGGATATTCATTATTTATGCTCGCCTCATGGGAAAACACTAACAGAAATCTCGTATTGTAGAGAAATTGAGTGTCGGCACAAAAAATTGAAAAAGGAAAAATCCTAGATTTGTGAATAGGGATGGCCTAATTTTGCTGCACGACAACTCATGTTTGCAAGCTTCTCAATCAATTGTCTAAAAGCTGCATAGCCTGAATTATGAAATTTTGCCTCATCTTCTATATTTACCTGATATCTCTCATACTGTTTATCACATATTTAAGCATATTGAGCTTTTTATGCGCAATAAAACATTCTCCAATAAGGAAGAGACAATCAAAGCGTTTGAACTGTTTATCACATCAAAGGATATGATTTTTTAAAGATGGTATCAAGAATTTATAGGTACGTTGGAGAACAGTCATTCATTGATATGGTGATGGTGCTTATTTCAACTAAATAAATTCGTTATTTAACATTTCAGAAGCGTTTTATTGATTTCCTCTAAAGTCGGTCATTTTATGTAGGACAACCTAATAACATTTCTTGCCTTTAAATAACCCGCAAAGAGTAGATATGCCGTCGGAAACGAATCAACTAGTCAATCGATTCACCAGTACAGAAATTTCCAGTTAAGACCCGTCATAATAATGATAAGAAAGAAATTTAACTTAAATAGATCCTCTGGCTTTAGAGAACGAACTCCCTATAAGGTGACCCCTTAATAATACATTTTTAACCACTTCAAGTTCAGAGTCAACCATTATCTATCAGGGGTGACCATACTTGCTCAATGTTAGAGCCACATAGGATAAAATTCAGATATTTGAGAGACGCAAAACAACAAAATTTACACATACGCTTTTCTTACACATTAACTTACGTGTCAATCCAATGGGATCTCAATTCATACCCAGTACATAATTATAAAGCTTGAAATTTTCTTATTTACATTTTATATTAACTGTGACTAAAAAAAGAACCTCGGCCAACATATTACCACGAACCGCATATTAAATATCAAAGAGCCGCATGTGGCTTCCAAGCCGCAATTTGGCCACGCGTGATATATCTAATGTGGTATCAAGAATTTCCTGGATTAGAATCTCCTAGTGGACCCCATAATTAATTCCATTTAGGTGTAAGAACTGATGGCGTGTTTGGTGACGAACCGAATAAATGAGTTCATGATTTTGTTTTCTCACGTTGTCTGGTGTTTAGCTGGTGATCGATCGATCTGAACGGTCGACATCTTCAAACTACGTCCTGCCGGCGTTAAAACACGCGTGACGCTCAAAAAAAAAGCCCCCTCCTCCGCCAAACACGTCATATGTCAGGAGTGACCAAACTTTCTTAATGTAAGAGCAACATACGATAATGTTCAGAGGTTTGAGAGCCACTGGACATGAACAAAATTTACATATACATCTTTTGTTACAAAAATAATAACGTTTAATCCAATGGGATCTCAATAAATACCCATAAAGCAATTATAATTGAATGTTTTTTAACTTACCTTTTATATTAACTGTGATGGTAAAAGGAGCTCAGCCAATGAGGCGCATATTAAAGGTCAAAGGGCGTCATGTGGCTCGTCAGCCGCAGTTTGACCACCCCCTGATATATATCATCATAATATTTAAAGTGCCTCTTATATTACTATTGTTTATTCTAAGATCTGTTTTTTGTTTATTTTTATGCAAAAATGGAAGTCGATGCACATATATTTTGCTTTTTGTATTTTTTACTTTTCTTCTACCCATTCTCTATCATCAGCTATAATAATTGACAGGGCCGCTGCTTACTATCCCGAACCCCTCAACGGCTTGGGGGCCCCATGCCTACTGGGGAGGGGTTAACAAGTGCTAATTTCAGTAGCGCTTATTATTTTTTAATTTAAATTTCTTTCTGAACAGTTCTTTTAAATCAATTAAGTGGGTAATATATCTCAGTAAAATGTTTTTTGTTTATTCCGATATCATACAATTAGGATGATTTTTTTTTACTAATAGTAATACTAACCAGAAGTCCACGGCTAGTAATTAAAATAAAATTGCTAGTCCCTATTTTTTATATTTCTAGAAAGATAAAACCGAGAAAATGATCGTTTAAAATATATAAAAATTTCAACGCATGAAAATTTTTTTCCCGAAATCTGTTTTCAAAACAAATTTTTAAGACAATCCCGTTTGTGTTGTGTTGGAATCTTTGTAAAACTTTTTATTCTCTCAGCGGTGGAGCGGTGGCGATTAATCGTTATGGAAATGTAAAAATTTGCGACAAATACTTTTATCGAGTAAAATGTAGTTATGAAAATATTGGAGGTTATTACAAAAAGAATAATATTTTCGTAGATTTTTAAAAAAAAAAACAAAAAAAAACTATTTATTATAAAATTAAATAACTAATGAACAGGTACTGAAATTTTCATTTAAATTGGATAATTCTTTGATTTTTGTTAATTTAAAAAAAGCGCCACCCCTGATTTCCCTTCGAGGTTTCAGTGGCTCCTAGGTTGGAAAACTTTGAAATCGACATGGAGTAGGAGAGTGGGTCACCGTATCAAATTTTCGGGTGTGGCTTGAGACTCTGGCACCGGCCCTGGATATAGGGTGCATCATCTGTGCTAGTGCCTTTGCAGCGAAGCGGTCGACAATGTTTTACTCAGGTGGTTTGGGATGCGGAACTGTACTGGTTCACGACATGCGTCCAACACTCACACATGGCTCCAAGATGTTACATGGATTCTACAACGGTCAAAGACGTCGACCTACCGGCTAAAGTGGGTGTGGGTAGTCGGAAGTGTTTCCCAATCCACCTGTGACAAGCGGCCGCCCAGGATGTAGGAGTTGCGTCTCTGTAGTCAACGACCTTATCAGTGGGAGGATGAACTTCTGTAAGGAGAAACAGGTTAAACTCAATTACTCCGGTGCAAAAGGAAACCAGCAAGCCATTACACTATTTTACCTTGAATGTCACCATGAACCACGGCGAGTGGTGACCACACAAATGCAAAGTGCGCTAACAGAATAAACGATGATGATGATGATGATGATGCTGAAGAGTATGATGCTGATGAAGGTGAGGCTGATGATAATGATGTGGAGGATCATAATGTTTATGATGAGGAGTATGAGGAGTATATTGATGATGATGAGGATTAGGATGATGATGATGATGATGATCAGGATGATGATGATGTGTATGAGGATGAGGATGATGACCAAGATGATGATGATGATGATCAGGAAGATGATGAGTATGAGTATGAGGATGATGATGAGGATGATGATGATGAGGAGGAGGATGATGATCAGGATGATGATGATGATGTGTATGAGGATGAGGATGATGACCAAGGATGATGATGAGGATTAGGATGAGGATGATGAGGATGATGATCAGGACGATGAAGATGAGTATGAGGATGATGATGATGATGAGGATGATGATGATGAGGATGATGATGATGTGTATGAGGATGATGATGATGATCAGGATGATCAGGACGATGAAGATGAGTATGAGGATGATGATGATGATGAGGATGATGATGATGTGTATGAGGATGATGATCAGGATGATCAGGATGATCAGGACGATGATCAGAATGATGATGAGGAGTATGAGGATGAGGATGACGACCAAGATGATGATGAGTATGAGGATGAAGATGATGATGATGATGATGAGTATTAGGATGAAGATGATGATGATGATGAGTATGAGGATGAAGATGAGGGTGATTATGATGATGATGATCAGGATGATGAGGAGGATAATCAGGATGATGATGATGATGATATGTATGAGGATGAAGATGATCAGGATAATGATGATGATGATGATGAGGATGAAGATGATGATGAGGATGAGGATGATGATGAGTATGATGATGATGATGCGTATGAGGATGATGATGATGATGATGATCCGTATGTGGTTGAGAATGGTGAACAGGTGATGATGATGTTTATTAGGATGAGGATGATGATGTGGCTGCTGATGATGATCAGGATGATGATCAGGATGATTAGGACGATGATGAGGATGATGATGATGATGTGTATGAGGATGAGGATGATGATGATGAAATTGATCAGGATGATGATCAGGATGAAGATGATGATGATGTGTATGAGGATGATGATGATGATGTAGCTAATGGTGATGATCATGATGATGATGATGATGATGCGTATGAGGATGAGAATGATGATCAGGATGATGATGAATATGTGGATGATGAGGATGATGATGATGATGAGGGTGATAATTGTTGTTTAATCGTCAGAGGTTCTTAGCAGTGAGTTTTGTTTAAGTTTGAAAATGAAAATAACACTGACATCTCATTTTGACTGATACAAGGCACGATGGATAAACTGTCGTGAAAATGAGGCAAAAATGAAAATAACACTTACATCTTATTTTAACAAATATATTTACCAAAATTGCACAAAAATATCTTGAAATACTAAAGAATAAATTTATTCAATAAAAACGCCATTGGCTTTTACCAGGGATTCCAGACGACTTCAGAATCTCCTGCAAATCTTCTGTACGTTGAGCATCCCTACATTGTTAAGGCACTTGATGTAGGCCGTCGTGTTGAGTCTGGGGACATCACAAACAAATTCGGAAGTTCTTTTTTTTATCAAAATGATCAGAGTAAGTTTTCCGAGCAATTGTACATTCGTAATGGCCATTAAACTCATCCAATTCTTTTCGAATGCTCTGCACTATCCTCAGATTGACACCCAAATATTGTAAAATGTTCGTATTGAGGCTTCCAGCACTACAGTATGATGTTTCCAAAATTTCTTGCAAAGTCAATAGCGGCATGATGCTCTTCTTCTCACAGATGGTGACCAAATGATCCTTCTATATAATGCCCTTAATAAAATTAAAAAAAACAATCAATGTGCTTTTTATTTTAATCATTTCACCCTAAGCACGGTTGGATTGCCCACTGGCTTACAGAAAGTGAAGATGAAAGAAAAGCCTGGGTATAGAGGCGACCGAGGAAAGGATAAAAGCTGAACGGGCTTCAAGATGGCGATTAAAGTTGCATTTAAATTTTTGAAGATTATAGTTATCAGGGAAACAAGTGAACGGAAGCGAGTTCCACAGGCAGGAAGTGCGAGGAAAGAAACTGTTGAAGTCGAAGTCGCGGTTACATTTAACTACTTGAGCAGTAAAAGGGTGTTCCTTAAGGGGGCATTCACGAGTTCAAATGCTTCTTAACGAACTGTATTTTCTGATCAAACCAAACTTATAAGTAACTCATAAATAATAACATCGGTCAAAGAAACACATGCCTATGCAGACGATATACGCCTACCCAACCACGGGTCATTTAGAACGCATTTAAGCACACACACAACATAGCAGACGACATCTGAAACAAACTTGTAGAAAGTACAAGCATAATAAACTCATCTATATAAAAAAAAAAGATTAAAAATAATGGAAGCTCTAATATTAAAAAAGAAAAAAGCCAAATCTCAATAGCATTGACTACGAACACGGCCACAATGTGCTGACCGTGTTTGTAAAATAAAACATCCCCATAACTCTAGATACATACACAGAACCGATACATTGAGTTAAAAAGTAAGAAATAAAAGCATCCCTGACAATGGCTAAAAGTGTAGTCGAAAGCTCTCGGAAATACAGAACATTTGGACAGTTTTTATAAATTTGTGTCCAGAAAAGAAAACACTTGTACGAACACAAGAAAATTTACTAAAAAATTAATTGCAGTACCTTGTCAGTTGTCTTTAAGAAAACACACACACATATATATATATATATATATATATATATATATATGCACACACACAGACACACATATATATGACTTTCTAACGTTTAGCTTATATATCTCTATTTTATACATACCTTTATATAGTCAGTCGATATATACTTTTTTCCACACGTACCCTGATGATATATATATATATATATATATATATATATATATATATATATATATGTGTGTGTGTGTGTGTGTGTGTGTGTTTTGGGGAACTGTTCGTTTATCTCGTAACTCAGTTTATTATGGTGTCTTGCTTGTCGGCATTGCTGTCAGCTTTTGACTAGAGCAAGATTTCGAATTTGCTCTCCGGCAACAAGCAGACTGCTCGTCTCTAGCTATATTAGCGATTCTAAGGAAAGAGCCCTGTTAAACAATGTCACTCTACAAGATTTTATTGGTCACACAGGTAGAAACACATTCCGCTCACATCCAAAACCGGAATGACATTGCCTTTGCATTCGGAGAGCTATTCTTAGACACTCAATAACATCCCTCTTTTTTATTATTTTTTTTTTGTTTTTCGAAGCCACCTTTTCTCGTGTTCTTTCTTGATTTTTGCATTTTATTTAGTATTTTCTTTCCTCTTCTTTTTTTTTATTTGACTTTGTTTCACTTACTTACTTCTTTCTTTTTGCTTCTTTCTTTTCTTCATTCTTTAGGTCATTTTCTTTCTTTTTGTTGAATTTTCACCCTTTTCTTTCAATTTCTTTTCTTTCCTATCGTTCACCTCCCTTTCTTATCTACTAAAGGCATTTCCTTCTGTTTTATCTCCTTTTCTATCTTCTTCGTTTCCTTCATTCATTCTCTTTACTTTCTTCTTTTGTAGTCATTTATCTCTTTGTCTTTTTAAAAAAAATACATTAAATTATTCTGTATTATTCACCCATTTCTTTACGTATTATTTTTTTATTTTCTTTCTTTTGTTTGTAGGTGCGTATAAGTCTTCCTTTCTTTCCTTCTCTTTTATTTTCTTTCTTTTTTTTCTGCGTTTTTGTCTTCCTTTCTTTCCGTCTCTTTTATTTTCTTTCTTTTTTTCTTTCTGCCTTTTTGTCTTCCTTTCTTTTCTTTTCTTTTATTTTCTTCCTTTTTTTCTTTCTGCCTTTTTGTCTTCCTTTCTTTCCTTCTCTTTTATTTTCTTTTTTTTTTCTTTCTGCGTTTTTGTCTTCCTTTCTTTCCTTCTCTTTTATTTTCTTCCTTTTTTTCTTTCTGCGTTTTTGTCTTCCTTTCTTTCCTTCTCTTTTATTTTCTTTCTTTTTTCTGTCCGCCTTTTTGTCTTCCTTTCTTTCCTTCTCTTTTATTTTCTTTTTTTTTCTTTCTGCCTTTTTGTCTTACTTTCTTTCCGTCTCTTTTATTTTCTTTCTTTTTTTCTTTCTGCGTTTTTGTCTTCCTTTCTTTCCGTCTCTTTTATTTTCTTTCTTTTTTTCTTTCTGCGTTTTTGTCTTCCTTTCTTTCCTTCTCTTTTATTTCCTTTCTTTTTTCTTTCTGCCTTTTTGTCTTCCTTTCTTTCCGTCTCTTTTATTTCCTTTCTTTTTTTCTTTCTACCTTTTTGTCTTCTTTTCTTTCCTTCTTTTTCCATGAATTTCGTTTATCCCTCATCGTTACTTACATTATATCTATCTCTTTCATTTCTTTCTTTTATGCTTTTTACCTTTCTTTTTAGTCTGTTTCTTCCTCTCCTTTCATTGTTGCTTATTCTTTCGCGGTTTCATATGATTTCTTTTGTTTGTTTGCTTATTCTTTGTTGCTTTCATTCGGCTTCCCACATGTTTCCTGTGTGTATAAAAGTATGTGGGGTAATTTAATCTCTCTCTCTCTCTCTCTCTCTCTCTCTCTCTATATATATATATATATATATATATATATATATATATATATATATATATATACGTATAAACAGTGAGAAACATATATTTCTAAAGGAAAAATTTACTTATAATTTAATGTTATCCGCAACTAGAAACGATCAAATGTAAAATATATAAACAAGTCCACATATAATATATATAACGAAAACTAAAACAGTATATATATATATATATATATATATATATATATATATATATATATATATATATATATGCTCGTGTTCTTATGTGTGATGCGTCCGTGTGTGTATGTGTGATGTCAGCGTTTATGTATTTTTATTATTATGATTTTAAGACATATACGTGATGTCTGTATGCAAGTTTAAATATATTTCACTTTGTATTTTCATTAATTGTGTGTATATATATATATATATATATATATATATATATATATATATATATATATATATATATATATATATTTCCATATATAATATATGTATATATTTCCCATACAAAACACATGCACACGCATATATATATATATATATATATATATATATATATATATATATATATATATACTTCAGTAACACCTCGCGTGCTTATCAGCATATGTTTTTGCTTCTTTTACCAGACAATCTCGTTACGCCCGGAAACTGTTTCTCGTGATCTGAGCTAAACAATGTGAATACTTTCCTACATAGAATTGGATGCAAGTTTATTAAATGAAGAAAAAAAAAATGAAATAACTAACGTCATTCAGTAATGAAATAAATCTCTCAAAAGATTTGTCACTGATAAATACTTACTAGCGACATGATGACAGAACGTTCAAATAACGTTTCCTAGTTACAATAGAAAAACGCACCTGCAGCGTAATAGGAAAAGATTGAAACGAATGAATTAGTCGTTTTCTTACAAGACAAAATTTCTCATTCATTGACCGAATGATCTGTATTGGTTTCGGTTTAAATTTATAAAATCTTACTTTTGACTCATTTTTTCAAGTCCAATCGCTGTTATTTCTATTTCCAGTAATTATGGATATTTCGTTCCTAACTTCCAATTTGAAAGCGAGGCTTGTTAATTTTAAAGCCAAAAAAAACAGAAACAGCTCTATTTAAATCATCTGATATAACTTCATTTACATTATATCTGTTATTCATGATGACGGTCGTCTTCGAGTATAGAATCCAGAGGTTAGCAGTGAATATTTCGAAGACAATAGGAAAGCGTTGTTCAGGTTAGCAGTGGATATTTTGGTAAAAAGTAGCAGAGCATATTTCGTCCTTCTGTTTCTCTTCGCCTGACAAGCTGGACTGGACATTCGGATAGAGTAAACAAAATGGCCGCCTTTATACAAGACGGATAGAATGTTCTACGTCTTCTGATTGGTTAATCTTCTATTGGTAGACTATAAAGCGAGTCAAGGCATTTGGACTAACTCACTAGTTATATATACATACATATACACAAAAAACTGTAATATCTTTGTGGCCGATGCTAACCCTCAGGAAAATGACTCACTTCGCCTTCTCGCAATAACGTTTTCAGCTTATATTATGTGGAAAGAGTAAATTGAATTAATTGCTAAGTCCGCAACTGTTGTGGTGTCCTCCCTCTAAAAAGTCTATGTTGGACTCCTCCTACTACTACTATAAGATTAGTAGGAGAGAAGGCCTTGTGGGAAACAGACGCATAGATTGTTCATCTGTCAAACTCTCTGCCTCGAGCAGAGAGGAACTCGGACGAGGCTTCGCCGAAGGGCAAAGTTTCATCCGGGGAGTTAGACAGACCCGGTTATGCGGGTTCAAGGGAATAATATTGGCCGAGCCTACGGGCTTGGAGTGCCGACGGTAAACTCGGCCTTGTATCACATACATCCCTCGTGGGGGGCTGTTAAATATTAACAGTCGCATAGATTGTTCATCTGTGGAACTCTCTGCCATGAGCAAAGAGAAACCCAGACGAGGCTTTGCCGAAGTGCAAAGTTTCGTCCCGGGAGGTAGACAGGACTTTAACACGTTTATGCGGTTTTTAATTTAATATTTTTGGCCGAGCCTATGGGCTCGGAGAACTCACGGTAAACTCGGCCTCGTGGTGTTCGTTTTCTCACAGACATTGACTTACTGACTCTGCTATATTGTGACGTCGACAAAATCAAAAACAAACGACGCGCTGGCGCGAAATTAAAAAATTTAAATGGCGACAATTTATCCATCGCCGCCTGTATATGTGCCCTTACGCATTTCGTATGGACTTAACAACATAATTAAAAATAAAAAATGAAAAAAAAATAGTTTTGTGCCATTCTGCTTTAGAGGCGAGATGAGACAAATATCTTGTGAAATAAATATAAGATTTAGTTGATATACAGGGGTTTTTGAATGTTAGTATTTTTTTATTTTTTTGCATTTGTGAAGTTATAAGAGTGTATAAATAACGTGACTAGCTATTGCGAGGAGTTTGCGTGCTGAACTACTATAGCTGTGAATTTAAATTTAAAATTAAAAATCCAACACAATGATTAGGGTTTTCATTTGTTGTAAGGATCGTGATATTGACACTTGTGTCAGTAGAATTGAAATTTGTATGTTAACGTAGAAATATACGCTTAAAGAATCGATATTTTGTGATCAATATCACAATTCTTGTCATGAATCCAGATGAATGGCTAACAGCTTACGAAACTCTGAGTTGACCTTCGATTCGTAGAACAGAATAAATAAACAAATAATTTGTGATAAGTATTGTTTTGAAGTACATGATATAAATCCCATTGAAGCTTGTAGCAATTTTAATAGAAGACATTAACTTTAATCTTTTCAACGTAATTTTCTATGGGGGACACAACAATGACCCCTTTGACAAAATTGCCTTTTTTTGTATATCCTTCTCGGCTTTAAAGGTTGCGAATGTCATTAGGAAGCGCGGACAAGTAAATAGGAATTCATCAGATTATTTTCTTTTGTGGCTGTTCTTTTTCGTTTTTTTTTTTGTATTGTTTGTGTTCTTCTTATTCTCCAACTAATCTCAAAGTTGCCGGCGGGAGATTTGAAAAAGTAGGGACAACAAAATCTTACTACAGGTCACAGCGTTCATTTAAACAAGTAAATAAACAAGTAAATATATTAAAAAAAAACAAAACAAAAAAAAAACAAATTGCCGGAGAGAATCCATCCCTTTGATCCCAATTGTTGAGCTAATTTTGTCAGGATCATCATCATCATCATCATCCTCATCATCATCATCGTTGCCGCCGCCTCCGCCAACCACTCTATATTTATATCTCGTTCTCCAAGGACCGACTGGGCGACGGAGAGCCCGCTGATATCGTCGATGTCACGTGACCTGATCAGGTTGCGCGGAAAAATGTCCGATTTTAGAATTATTTGTTTATTTATTTTTTTAGTGGTGTTCTTCTTCTTCTTCTTCTTCTTCTTCTTATTATTATTATTATTATTATTATTATTAATAGCTGAACATAAAACAGATTGCCCTTTCCTAATGATTAATACTCCTGGGTCTGACGATAAACTACCTCCGCCATCAAAGCCTCCGGTCGGGAGATTGGACGTTTTGTGGAGCATGAAACCCCTTCTTAATTGGTGTTGTTCCCAGGTCTTGGGGTGTTAGAAACTGTTAAGTTCCCTGCTAGGGGCAAATAGTGAACCCCCAAGCAAAAACGAAACACTATGATAATATACAAATAAATTTGTATATAAAAAAAACATATTCATAGTGACATTACGAACAATACCTATTTATAGCAGATATATTTCTATGAAGCCATAAAATTGTGTTCAATATATTTAGATTTTGTCATTAAATGACCCATTGAGGTGTTGATATGCAGCTAAACAAAATCAACTAAACAACCAACCTAACGTTTAAAGTGTTCCCTTGGATAATTGTACATCATTCTCTTTTGGAAATTAACTCCAAAAAAAAAACAAAAAAAAAAAAAAAAACTCTCATCTTGAACATGAAAACGGAAGGATGTTTTCTTTCTTTTTTATGCATGAATTTCAAAACATCAGGAGGTCCCCTTCCCAACAAATCGACTAAGGTGAGATTCGATTCGTCTCATTGTCAGCCACATGCCCATAACCACTTTGGTATACCATTGGTGTAAGCACGGGTGTGCAGGTGGTGAAATAGATAAATTCAAGTCATGTTCGTTGTATTCACTTAGGCGTAAATATCCACTGCAAACTTATGACTCCAGCTCTTCTGACCCCCACCACATCAACAGATATCGGATAATTAATAAGACTTGTGTAAGTAAATTATTATTATTTCGCCAAACCTTTTACAATCTAAAAATATTTTCTGGTTTCAAATAACTTGCAAAATTTTGATAAAACGTAAAAAAAATCTATCAATCATCTTTTATATATTTCTGTTTTTATTTATATAAGCATTTAAAATGTTTTAAATCTTGAATACAATTTTGTTTTCGCCTCATTGATTTTGAAATTCTTCACATGAGCATAACGGAGAAGGAAATGCAGGCAACGTATTTCGAAAACTGGTCCACCCAATTAACAATTTAGTACGCTGTTTCGTACTTCAAGAAATGAAGAAAAAAAAAATAGAAAGAAATAAAGAAAGAGGCAAGTTGGTTGAAGCATATGGATAGATTGCAGAAAACGAGAAAAAGGGATGCATTTACATTTTACGCATGAATTTAAAACTTGGTCATAATGCTTCTCAAACTGCTGCCAACATTACCAGAGTATGAGATGGTGAAGAATCTACTCGTAATCAAATAGGACGGAATTGTTAACAGAAGTTCCGCAGTAGGGATACAAGTCTTGAAGACCAAGGTGGCAAAGGATTTTCATCTGCAATTGACAGTCAACATCTTAAAACTGCAGTCGAGCGAAAGCCACGTCAGGGTATCAGGGAAATATTTCAGTTCGTGGGAATCAGCATTTTAACAACATCGGAACATCTCAAGAAAATCGGTAAAAAAAGAAACTCGATAGATTCAAATAGTTCGACGTCATCAAGTGTGTACTATGCTGCATCTACAAAATTCGAACGATCGACTTCGTGAACGAATAGCGACTTGTCATGAAAATTGCATCCTTTATGACTATACTTATGACTATCTTTATGACTATCTTTATAACTATCGTAAACGATGATCGTAATGGCGTCATAATGATCGTGATCGAAGAGAGACTTGTCATGACAATTGCATCCTTTATGACTATACTTATGACTATCTTTATGACTATCGTAAACGATGATCGTAATGGCGTCATAATGATCGTGATCGAAGAGAGACTTGTCATGACAATTGCATCCTTTATGACAATACTTATGACTATCTTTATGACTATCGTAAACGATGATCGTAATGGCGTCATAATGATCGTGATCGAAGAGAGACTTGTCATGACAATTGCATCCTTTATGACTATACTTATGACTATCTTTATGACTATCGTAAACGATGATCCTAATGACGTCATAATGATCGTGATCGAAGAGAGACTTGTCATGACAATTGCATCCTTTATGACAATACTTATGACTATCTTTATGACTATCGTAAACGATGATCGTAATGGCGTCATAATGATCGTGATCGAAGAGAGACTTGTCATGACAATTGCATCCTTTATGACTATACTTATGACTATCTTTATGACTATCTTTATGACTATCGTAAACGATCGTCGTAATAATTTCTCATCAAAGACAGATGTTTGCTAAATCTTTTTCTAAGATATTGATACATTCAGTTTTATCGTTTTTGTTATCTAGTCAACAGTTATAGGTCGAAGTTTTTATAAACTGAAATCTCAGGTAAAATTATCATAATCAAACTTATTTTTCTGTGTATTATATATATATATATATATATATATATATATATATAACGTCATCCACAGACAGAGTGTTTCGCTGTTTCACAGCTCATCAGTGTGGCTAGACATCCGGTTGCCTCTAGCTAGGATCGAATTGGTGTCAGTCGGAGATTCTAACCATTAAGCCGTCGGTGCACGGTAGGGATGAAAGTGGATTTTTTTAGCGTATTTATTTTTAGAAACACGCCCTGTGCCCGACAATGACTCAATTGGCATCTGAGAAGAGTCTCGCTATATAGCTATAATAGTCACTGTTTACCAACCCACACCTTGTCCCCAGAGAGCTCAACTGAAATTGATATTTCAGGAGTCAATACAGATAGATAATATTAGTGGTAAATGTACACATACATATGAAATCATATATCTAAAATATACAAATATATATACATACATACACACGCATACATATATATTTGTATAAAAAATAATTCCAAGAGGATAGAATCCAGGTAGAACTCAATGTCCAGGACAGAGTAAGGATATAATAAAAAGGGTTAAACACTTATATTAGTGTTTAAGCCCTTTTATTATATATATATATATATATATATATATATATATATATATATATAAGCAAATATATGGTTATAGATCCGAGAGTATGAAGAAAAATATACGGAAAAAACAAACAAAAATCCTAATATGCAATTATGCTGTTTAAATGTTAATATAATATAAACGTCGGACGTTTTGGTCTAGTAGACCATCTTCAGGACATATTCATAAAACATAATTAACATTAGACTATATTTAATTCAACATGAAAAGACGATGGACATAAGAGTAAGACTAATCAAAGAGTAAGACGAATAAAAAAAAATTCAGTTATCTGTTTTGATTAGTCCATCGTCTTTTCATGTTGAATTAAATATAATCTAATGTTAATTATGTTTTATGAATATGTCCTGAAGATGGTCTACTAGACTGAAACGTCCGACGTTGACTTGATATTAACATTAAAACAGCATAATTACATATTAGGATTTTTGTTTGTTTTTTTCGTATATTTTTCTTCATATATATATATATATATATATATATATATATATATATATATTTAACATTGCCATATTTTACCGTCTATTTAGTATAATTATCAACCTATATAGATGCTTCCTCATTTTTAATTTTACATATTGGCCCCTTTAAGAAGCTTCCTGAATATATTTAAAAAAGTTTTTTTAAAATTAACTTTTTTTAAAATCCGTTTCATAAATTTATATTAGCAAATCGGTACCTCCCAAAGTCTAGATGCCCAGAGCTTGGCAGCTGATCTCTCCTCTGACCCAGCTCTTGCAGCTCAGTGGGGAAAAAAACTGACTGTTTACATTCAATTCCTGAAAGATGACACTGATGTCTTTCCATTATTAGTTATCGGACCCAGAACTTTCAGCAATAATGATGAAGGGATCTTCCCTCAGACAGGGCCCGTGCCTTGAACTTCTATTAGGTATTAAGCTCAACCTAGACTTAAAGTGGAACTCGTACACACGATCCATTTCTAAAGATACTGTGAAAATGGCCGTTTTTTTTACGGCACCAACACGTATCTCACTCACCTAGCTATCGTCTATATTTAAAAGAGGCGGTACTGTTACCATACATATATGGACGGGAGCTGTCAGGCTTCACTTTCAACTCTCGATAGAGTCCACAAGTGTCCCCACGTCCTTGTAGGTGACAAATTATTTTCCACTCGTCAACCCCTTTCTTACAGACGAGACGTCACAAGCCTCTTACTGCTCTATCGCTATTTCTACAGCGATTCAACTACATTCCTTAGTTTCACAAGTCCTAAGCTTCACGGCTAAGACCCGCCATCAAATGCACATTGTAGCGAAACACCATCATTCCCTTCATTTCCCATTCATGAAATGTAACTTTCACTCGGACAGCTTCTTCCCACGGACCGCTACGTTGTGGAACCCAAGAGGCTGCTTCCCCGATCACTACAATCTTAACCTGTTCAAGTCTAGGATTAACCATTATCTTCTGCACGTATCCGCATAAGCTTTACTTCTTATCTTTAACGCTCTACCATGAGTGGCTCTCAAGCCTTGTACAGGGTAAACACCATTGTAAAAAAAAAAAAAAAATGCAGCTGGTTTCATAGACTCTCCACAAAACTCCAATTCCTTTCCTTTTTCAACCGCCACTTAATCTCAACCAAGATGCATTAGTTCCTATTCGTATGAGAAAAGTAATAATGAGAAAAAAAATAAGAATAGGGATCGGAGAAAAGCGATACTCTCATATAAATTTTTATCGACTAAAGTACTTATTTATCTAGTCTTATTAACAGAGCACGCCTTGGGACCATTAACTTCGACACAAATTATATACTGGCAAATCAATTTATTTTCGACTCTAATATTTGGTTTCTAAATATCCGGGAGACCTGAGAGATGGTGGCGTCACCAAAGACGACGTGTAATCAAAATTCATATTCCTTTTTTCGCCA